ATGCCGGCTGAGACTTTGCTGTGGGGGACGCATTGATGGGTGGAGACATATTGGTATCTGAGAGTGAGATGGTCTGCTGATTGTTGCGTTGGGTAATTGTTGGTCTGATGGTGATAGGAACTGGTTCGGCTGTAGTTGGTTTTGTAGTTGTTGGTGTTATTTTATTGGTTGATGCTGTCGTTGGTTTGATGGTTGTAGTTGTTTTTGGAGTTGTAGGCGGTATGCTAGTGGTTGATTCAGCAGCTGGTTTGGTGGTGGGAACTGGTGTGGTTGTAGTGGTGGTTTGTTTGGTGGTAGTTTGGGGGGCTGTTGGTTGCTGGGTGGATGCAGGCCTGCTCACGCTCCTTGATGAGTGTGTAGAGTCTAGTTGTATGCTAACAGTAGTGGAAGGTCCCGGACTCTTGGAGGGGAATGTCCTGGTAGGTGGAGGCGGCTCAGAGATCGATAAGTCCACGGAAGCATTTGTAGTCGCTATAAAATAAGTTAAATGACAGATAGATGAAGAGAGGGCAACAATCCAGAACCTCAGAGAGACTACAATCAATATTTTTGTATTGACAATGGATCAAGATTGATTATAAATTAAAGAGACGGCTATTGTAATGAACCTACAGCGAATGATTACACAACCACAACCAACAACAGAGTATTTTAGCTCTTTCAGCTCATTGTTTTGGTTTTACAGCCAGCAACGTCAGTGTTTAGATTCAGTCGAAATGTTCTTATTGTGTCATACGCAACAGTAGCCGACATCTGTATACTCACTGAACACTACCTGCCCATCATAGCAGACAAGCAAAATGAACAGCAAGATGGTGAGCATAGTGTAGCATTTAGCTGCTAAATAACAATATTTTCTAAGGAGTTGGTGGAGGCCAAAAACAAAGCAAAAAGACTGTGAAGACTGTGAATACAATCCGAATGAATGATAACATGTTTTGTATGTTTTATTTGCTAAAAAGTTTGTGAGATAACTTAAAATATGATGGAAAACATCTAATGCCCCTTTCACACCAACGCGTTTTAAGCGCCGGCTCGGAGCTGGAGCCTGAAAAGTACCGGTTTTTCCTGTTCACACCGCAGCGGCGCCGCCTCTTAGCTCCGGAATCCAGTTCGTTTCCAGCTCCAAAAAATTCGGTCTCACCTCCCCTGAACATGGGTCGACTGAAGAGTCTCGTCATGCCTGCCTACAAGCAGTAGCGCTGAGCAAAGTGACTAGAAGGTAACCACACACTTATAAAAAAAAACACGCTTTATAAAGTCAGGCAACACTAACCAGGCTTCGTGTGATTCTGTTTATTTGTACCTTACTTTGACCATCCGTTCGCTGTTATTGATCATTGTGGAGAGCAGGCAGACGTTTTGTTTGTTATTATAGCAGCTATCGGATGGAATCAATACATGGGCTGCACAGGTTGTCATGTCCGACTATCACAAGTAGAATCATAATGAAAAATACGCCGGTAAAATGTGCCTGTAGAAAACGGCTTAGCAAGTAGTCAGTTTAGCTTCGGTTGCTATGCTAACATCACCCATGTTATACCAGAGAAACGTTCATAACAGCGTTGTGATGCCAAACAGCGTCAATTCAGACTGACACACATTCACTTAAGGGGAACTGGGGATATGTATCAGCTGCTTGTGTGACAGTCAGACAGTGAATACTTTAGAGCCGTGTGAGCTAACCCGGAGCTAACGGGAGAATAAACTCCCGTGGAAGAGCAGCCAGCACTGCAGCGGTCGGTAAATGCCGCTGAAACACATTAATAAACAATGAACCACGGCACTCTGGAGAAAAGTATAAGGTTGGAGAAGTCGTTATTTAATTTAATCTGGCTTCGTATGATTAAAAGCAACACGATCATCGACCCGACGCAGTCCCCCATTATTGTTGTTGTAGTGAGCTCCGTTGGGGAGCAAATCAGCGATGTAAACGGTGACGTCATGACGCAGCAGCGGCAGCACCAGTCGGGCTCTGGGCGGTGTGAACAGAGCGGGAGCTGAAAAGGGAAACCGGAGCTGAACCAGAAAAGCTCTAGCTCGGAGCTAGAAAGGGAAAAGCGCTGGTGTGAAAGCCGCATACTGTAACATACCAAGTAGGGATGAGTATGGCAAGCCATTTGAGTATTTATTCCATATCCTTGATATCACACGGCAGCTGCCTACACTAGTTGGCTCTTTGATTTCACTTGTTAGATATATGGTCAAACTAGTTTGGCACTCTGCTTTACTAGTTAAAGGGCCCATGTCATGGCCATTTCCACTGATCATAATTCCATTGTTGAGGTGTACTAGAATAGATTTATACATTTTCCAAACTCACATTGGTTTCTCATACAGCATCTCTGTAAACTACGTGTATTCACTGAATTTCACTCTCTGCCTTTAACGGCTCGTTGTAGCTCCAATAGCTCCAGCCCCCACCCGCCCTGTGAGCACAGTGTGCTCTGATTGGTCGGGACGTTGTGAATCGCGCTGAGCTCCGTGGAGGTGTTGTTTCCTTGTTAGCGATACACAGCGAAACACAGCTAAACTCATCCTGAGCACACACAAAGTCACAGCCGAAGTAAAAACAATAAGTGTGGCTTGATATTGAGTAAGAAAAAGGTTGATAAACGCTGTGAGAATGGGTCTGCAGAGAGAATTTCACTAGTCACACTAGTTGCACAGGATGCTAATGAGGAGGAGGGGAAATAATGCATCGAGGTCTTCTATTGGCCCTAAGCTACAGTATAGAGCGCCACCCAGCCCAAATAGTTTATTTAAGAGCTTAAATACACTGTGTTTTAAAATACAGTCATATTATACGGTGGACCTGAAGTGCAACGCCACAGCATTTCAGAAAACGCCACAGCATTTCAGAAAACACAACAGCATTTCAGAAAACAGTCTGCTAGTCAAGAAGTGACGCTTCGTGATTGGTCAGCACCCGACAGCGCAATATGTCCCAAAACATCAGCCGTTAGCTGTTAGCACACACTCAGAGCTCACAGCTCCTCATATCTGTTCAGAAACTGGACAAAAGTTAAACAAGTACAAACTACAGACTGTCTATGTCATGGTGAATACAGTCACTGCTTTATTTATGTCTGTATGACGTTGTTGTGAGTGTGGACGGAGCAGCTACAGGTTAGTTTAGCCTGATGGATCCGATCTCCATTCAGAAAACACGCATTTTAAAAGGTTTTTCGCCTGCCATCTTGTCTGCAGACTTGACAAAGCATTAATTCATGGTTTTTACTAACCGGTATCAGTATGTAGTTACTTCGGCATCACTTTGAAACGTGTATTACAATTAAATCACGGTCAATATGTTCATTTTGTTGTAGTTGGTATCTCCCATAGCATTTACATGGAGATACGCCCCGCCCCCTCTCCAGCGCCTCTTGTTTGAGTGACAGGAGCAAACACAGCTGACAGCCGCGGTGAAACTCGAGCGATTAGAGCGATGCGAATATTGGGTAGTCTACCATAGTATTTACATGGAGATAAGCCCGTTAAAAACCATGAATTAATAAAGCATTAATTCATGGTTTTTTCGCATCGCTCTAATCGCTCGAGTTTCACCGCAGCTGTCAGTGTTTACTCCTGTCATTCAAACAAGACGCGCTGGAGAGGGGGCGGGGCGTATCTCCATGTAAATCCTATCGGAATCGGATAGATCAGGCTAAACTAACCTGTAGCTGCTCCGTCCACACTCACAACAGCGTCATACAGACATAAATAAAGCAGCGACTGTATTCGCCATGACACAGACAGTCTGTGGTTTGTACTTGTTTAACTTTGAGGAGCTGTGAGCTCTGAGTGTGTGCTAACAGCTAACGGCTGATGTGTTGGGACATGTTGCGCTGTCGGGTGGTGACCAATCACGAAGCGTCATTTCTTGACTGGCAGCAAAAACAACCAATCACAGCAGTGCTTCTCTGGCTGGCTCTGTCCAATCACAAACAAGAAGTGTTTTCCCTAAAGGAATACCCTTTCCGTCCAATGTGAAATGCTGTTGTGTTTTCTGAAATGCTGTTGTGTTTTCTGAAATGCTGTTGTGTTTTCTGAAATGCTGTGGTGTCTTGCACTTCAGGGCCACCGTAATATGACCATATTTACAAAATTATAAAACAAAAGTATTTTTGTAATTATGATCTTATGACTGTATATCAAATTAGGTAAGAACATTAAAGACTTTCTTAAAATTAGAAAGTTTCCTTAGGACTGCAGACAGGAATATAGATCCTCTTTAAAACATTTTGTTAAGCTGCAATTTGAAAGGTGCTTTGTTTTAAAAAGCTTACAAGTTGGGACTTTGGTGCTACAAGTGCTGCTCCTGACGTCACTAGTAAGGCTGATGTGCTAACTAGTCAGACAAAAGTGCCACTAGTTGCTGAAAAAGAGTGACTAGTGTAATGTTTTATTTAACTAGTAAAGCAGAGTGCCAAACTAGTTTGACCATATATCTAACAAGTGAAATCAAAGAGCCAACTAGTGTAGGCAGCTGCCGTCTGATATCAAGGATATGGAATAAATACTCAAATGGCTTGCCATAGATGGGAATACTTTAAGTTGTTGCCATGAAGACTTAATGTGACATAAAAGCATTTTTAAAATAGGTGTACTTTAGACTTACTTTTTTTCCCTTTCCCTTTCTCATCCTTCCCTTCCTCTTTGGAGATCTCCTCCTCTGCCTTGTAAAAGGTCACGCCCCTGATGACCATGCTGTTCTTGTCTTTGATTGGCTGCTTTGGCTCCGTCTTTTCTTTCATTGGCTTTTCAGTTCCTGTCTTATTCCTGGTTGGCTGTTGTTGTTCCACACCATCTTCCTGTTGGTTATTTTTTAGCTGACTTTCCTGATTCTTCTGCAACAGAACAAGCAGAATGAGTGATTTTCAGATGAGATAACAGTATATTTTTGAAAACAGAGAGGATGCAGTCATTCTTTGCTTCAGTTGGTTATATCGTTTTCAGGCAGATGATACCTGCTTGTTGCCGTTGGCAGCGGCTCCACTTTTCTGTCCTGAACGCTCCAAATCATTAACTTTCCTTTTTTTCTGCTGGGCTTTCTTCTCTTTGTCCTTTTCTTTTGGTCTTTCCTTCACACGTTCTTTCTCTCTTGCTCTCTCAGTAAAATTACGGGCAAAACCCTGGAGAGCACACACATGATGACAGTATATAAAAGGGCCATTTTAGGCAGGAATCACAAACGCAAAGCTGATCAAATAAATTAGTGCAGAAAGATAACTTATCCAGTATTTGCCTCAGAATCCTGTTTTGAGGTTTTTTAGTATGAAAGTTATCCAGTGTTAGTTGGTTGTCTGTACAGCCATAGCAAACTGCTAATAGTTCATCCCCACACCATAAATGGCTAAAAACAGGGTACAGAGGTCTCGATTCTGTCATGGAAAAATGCTCCTTATAAAACAAGACACAGGGCAAACATGAGAGGATACAAACCATTTTCATTTAATATATAAAGTATATTGTTGATAAAACCACTGTGAAAATTACTCGTACAATCTCCATGAAACTTGGGGAAGTAAAGTAGCATGGGTAAAGAAAGAAGCATTTTGGAAACGAAACACAGGGCAGACATATCATTTTTTGTTTGTTCAGGGTTCCCACGGGGTCTTAAAAAGTCTTACATTTGATCATCAGAATTTAAGGCCTTAAAAATGAAGTCTTAAATATGATAAAAAAAATAAGAAAGGTCTTAAATATGATTTAGAACAGTGGTTCTCAACTGGTGGGTCGCGACCCACCCGTTTCGAGTGGGTCGTGGATGTGTGAGGGAAGGAAAAACAAATTGAAATATTTTTGCGAGATCTCGCAAAACCCCTTTGCGAGATCTCGCAATACTTTGGCGAGATCTCGCAATACTTTGGCGAGATCTCACAAAACTTTTCATTTAGCTCAATGTACTTCCTGGTCAGTTCGGCAACACAGGAACCACAACAATGGAGCGGTTCATCGATTTTACTTTGAGCTTGGCCTTAAATATAAAGATATAACATCAGTGCTTGGCAATAGGCACGGGTTTACAGAGAGAACAGACAATATGGCGCACCGAGTACAGGTAATTAACATCTTGTGGTTCTAGATATAATTACATACTATTTAGGTTCTCGGCTGTTTGTCGATTTGGCGCTGTGTAATTGTGTTTATTTTGCTAATTTGTATTTTAAATATTCAATTTAAAGGAATGGAATACATATATAGCATACATGCTAACTGAACGAGCATGTCAAGCTAAGAGATATATGTATATATGTATATATCTTAGCTTGAAAGATGGAACAATGCATGTACTCTAATTTTTACAAGAATCTGATTTTGTGTAAGTTTTAAATATTCATTGAAGGAGATTCTTTCACATTTGAATGTTTATTTATTTAAAACATGTATTAGTTGCTATACTGTAGACATGTACATATGTACAATTATATTATTCTTTTAAGTGTGGTTTAAAGTAAAATGATATAAAGTTATTGGGTAGAGCCAAGTAACCCAGGTGGATGCAAACAGGTAATTAGGACAGAGCCTCTGTTTTTAGATGGGGTTTGTGGCCATGTTGTAGGCCTGACGTTTAAATGAAATGATCAAATCTTATCTGTTAAGATAAATGTTTTATTTAAAAGTTTCTTTTCTTTTTTTTAAGGAGGCACCCCAGAGCCAAGAGCAGGCCGAGCAGACCGCCTCCTCCCGCCGCAGGCAGGATCAAACTCTCGGTCCGGCAGCTTGTGAGACCCGCGTGCTGTCCACAGAGACTTCATTTTATCATACTTGCCATACATTTATTTTAATTGATGTAAATGTAACTTTTCTCTTTACATATTCAAAACACAAAATCCTCTCATCATACTTAATCCTAGACAGTAGCACATGGTATATATTGTACGACTTTGTAATTTTTGAATGTTGATATGTATTCGCTCATAGCCTACTGTTCCTTTCACGCAGACAATAAAAGTGCATTTTGAAATGACAAATAGGTTTATGTTTCAAGTTTATTTGCATTAAAAACGTGTTTTTAAACCCTTCTGTTCAAATTTGATATTTTCTTTCTTAAAAGATTAAATCTTTAAAAACATGTCGCTAATCACTCTATACCATCTATGACATTCTACCTTATGGAAAGCAGGTTTTAAGTGCGTTTGGAGTTTAAATCCCTCCATGCAAGACATTATATATAGATGTAAAGCAAATGAGTGTCCTGTGCATGTGGTTGTGTCTGTGTGTGCTCACCTTCTCCATGTTATCAACCCTAGTCAGCAGCTTGGTGGTTACAGAGTGGAGTTTCAACAAGTCCATTCCATACAGAGAGCCCTCCAACAAGTCAATGATAGTCGCCAGCTAAACAGGCCCAGTCCCAGAGAGGAGAACACTTTGATTAGGATATGGGAATCATCTTTACCTAAAGTCCAAACTTACATTATTCCAAGAAATCATGGAATAATAGTGTGTGTGTGTGTGTGTGTGTGTGTGTGTGTGTGTGTGTGTGTGTGTGTGTGTGTGTGTGTGTATGTGTGTGTGTGTGTGTGTGTGTGTGTGTGTGTGTGTGTGTGTGTGTGTGTGTGTGTGTGTGTGTGTGTGTATGTGTGTGTGTGTGTGTGTGTGTGTGTGTGTGTGTGTCTACCTTGATGTCATCTTTGCTGGCCTCTTGTAGTTTTTTAAACCTGTACTCTCCCTCACAGGGGTTGACAGCTGAAGGTGGAGCCATGCACACACACTTCTTGCAGTCTGTTCCCTTGGTTATCGTCTCCACAGAGTAAGAGTATTGTGATGGTGATGCCTGGTCGCTGATACGGCTGCAGTCAGAGCGTTTGATTGGTCGAACAATGCAGCGACACACACAGTCGGACCCTGATGACACAGTCTTTACTTTGTCGTAATCGCCCAGCAGCTGAAAGAGAAAGAAAACATGTGTTTGTATTTTTCTCAGTTTTTCGCTAATTTACTCGGCAGCTAAAATGAAAGGAAACTCACAGAAAACACAAACAAACATTTAACTCACCCGTAATATGGATGTATATTTGATACTTTGTTTTATTCTCTATAATATATATTATAATGAGGATTTTAAGCAGGAACAGCTACAGTGATTTACAAACAGGCACTTTTTGGTTTGGAGTACAGTTTGAAGGATTCCATAACCAACCACCAAAAAGATGCAGCACGTGGTCGTGGTGTACACACACTGGATGATTTACACGTCATTTGAGCTGAATTGACTAACTGTGGGGCTTGGATTGTGTTTAAAGGAAAAGTAAAGTTAAGCCACAGTTTTGCAGTAGTAAAACATGCTGTGTCTAATACGATCACATAATCTCATTTTCATTTTGGAAATGGTACATTTACAGTTTAAACATGTGTCTCTGTTGATGTGGATTTCACTTGATGAAGTGAATGGAAACTTTTCCTGAGTTCACCATAAAACTGAGATGTGATCATCAGACACACCGGACTGTCAGGAAACAAGATCAAATAAAGTCTGGTGGAAGGAGGAAAATTAACCTGGACTTCTAAACTGTATCATTTTTTACTTGTTAAGCCCGAGAGCCCCCACATTTAAAAACCTATTAATGTGTCATACTCACTTAACGGGGAGAAACTCAGCTAACTGACGATACAAACAATTTTTACCGAAACAAAACACAAGTCTCACAAGAAGCGTCTAAATGAGCCCTGAGCGAAAAAATGCTATAGCACTTAGCACAGAACTCACGGTAAGAATACCCTTATTACTTATCGTAACTGCACATACAAGTTATCAGATTAAAGCTGAGATTCCACTGATTCTATAGGTATTAGTATCATTACTGAGCGATCAGAACTCGCGACAGGGGAAGAAAACACAGACATCACAACACGTAGCATTACGGAGCATTCACGGGACATCTCTTACCCCCGTGAATGCTGTTGTTTTCTGATCAAAAGTCGTGTTTAATGGCATTAAAACGATAAAAACGCTGCTGAAGGTTAATCCATAGGTTAATCCAATGTGTCTGTGTCACTTTGAAATGATTACTGATAATCCATCATTCCATTTTTATGTCAAAAATGGAGATTTCATATTAGCTGCTAATGATAGCAACCAGCATTCTGGGTACGCATCACTCATTCACCAATGGGTAATGTTTAGAGGATTTTAGGAACTTCCCCTCGATTCTATTGGCTCTAACGGTTAAAAAGAGATGTCAATCATCAAAATCGAACGAGGGGGGCCAGAGATAGGTCAAATCCATCCAAATGACCCCAGAAGTGTTTTTTTGTTGTTGCTAAATCTCTCTAAAAAGGTCAAATTTCACTTATTTTGCATCAATCTTGATACAGGGTACTTCTTATATGTTATAGTTTGGATTCCTAAAGCTTTTAGTCTACCATCCCATCATTCAAGGGTGGTTTTCACTATAAATTATGTTTTTCTTTGGACGGACACTATCATTTACATTTTTTTACTATGTTCAATCTGAATTTACTTTAAAATAAAGAAAATCTATATTGATTCTGACTTTTCTACATCCAACTCACAGGTTTATCATTGCTTTGAGAAAAAAGATTATTAATTTACCCCTTTTTAAAGGGAAGATATAGTCATTTGTTCTGGGAATGTCATTTTCGAGCCTGAGACCTGAAAAACATTCTCAGGGCTCAACTGGTTAAGTAGTACCGAAGTACCGAAGTATTAGCATTAATACAAAATTAAAGTAGCAACAACTAAAGTAGGCTTCTCGTTATGCAGAAAGGACATTTTGGGAATAATGCATATTATATCAATGGATTATAGTTTGTGATCCATTGATGTGTTCATTTTAATTATGCAGATGGTAAAGTTGGAGCTAACATGACTATTTTACTGCCTAGTATATAATCTATAGCAGTACATAGCAGTACAGAGGAGTAGGGTACAGAGGAGTAAAAAGTACAGTATATTTTTTCCAAATTGTAGTCTAGTAGATATATGAATCTGCATTAAATGGAAATACAAAAGTAAAGTACTTTACTTAAGTACTTGAGTACAGTACTACTTAATGTTTACTTAAGTACTTGAGTACAGTACTTGAGTAAATCTACCAAGCAGTGGTGTAACAAAGTAGATTTAAGTACAATTTTGAGGGAGTTGTACTTTAACTCGACTATTTTCTTTTCTTTGTGTACTCCACTACAGTTCAGAGGTAAATGGTGTACTTTTACTCCACTACATGTATTTAATACCTTTAGTTACTTTACAGATTTGGATTAATGATGTGAAATATAATCAAGTGTTAAAGGTGGGATAGGTAATTTTGGGGAACCAGCTCGAGATCGCAGAGCCCCTCCTCCAACACACACGAACGCGCACATGACCAATGAGGGCACGAGATAAGTTTGTGCACAGATGGAAGGCTGACAGGCAGGTAGGCCATCCAGTTATTTTAGCCAGGCCGGCTAAAATGATTGGTCGGGCTTTTTACAGTACTACGGCTTCCACAGATGACATTTTTTTATGGATTTTTTGTCAAAGCACTTAAGATATTCATTGCTATCGGGATGTTAAGAGCATTCCATGGAATATAACAAAAAGTGTATCTCGAGCCGGTTTCTCAAACTTACCTACCCCACCTTTAAATCAGACTTTAGTTCCACCTGGAGTAAATTCACAAGCTACCCTGCAGTATACAAAGTCATTCAAACTAGCTGCACCTTTACCAGCTTTGAGAACACTTTCATGATCAATCATTATAAAACATAACATATATATTATTCTGAAATGGACCAATCTGCACAATGACTGCTTTTACTTTTCTACTTTTACTTGAGGAACATTTTGAATGCAGGACTTTTAGTTGTAACATAGTATTCCGATTCTGTGGTAGTTCCACTTTTACTTACTGTACAGTAGGTACAATATCTGGGTACTTCTTCCACCTCTGCTACTAAGCTAATCTACTTTGGCCCATTGCACTGACCTGGCTGATGATGTTCTCCTGGTTGTCCAGCTCCTCCTCCAGAGGCTCGGCGGTGGGCTGCTGGCCTCTCCACGCGGACCGCTGCTCCCCTCCCCGCTGACTGACCTCCACTTTAGCCGTTGGGGGAGCGTCCGGTTTACCCAGCTCCCCTGCTTCGGTCAACAGCATCTTCTCCCTTGAGGGGTCGGTGCTGCTTGTCGGCTCCAGCGCATCCAGCCCCCCCACAGCACAGCAGAGAACCAGCAGCGAGAGTCTGCGCCACATTTCCATGGAACACAATGAACCGCTCTCTGAAGAAACTAGTCCCAGTGTAATTATTGGGTATTACTATTTGAAAGTTGAAACCAAACCGGAGCAGGACCAGTCTGACAGCGGAAAGAACAAACAGCCAACAGTCCGCGGGTTCTAATGGCTAAACAAGAGGATAAATGTCCAACTTCCTAACGCTTAAAAACGGCCCACACGTCTTCAAAAGCTTCCTCACGTCTCCACAGCTCCGATGGACGGGTCCGTCCAAGTTTAGCGGGACAAAAAACGTTATACTCGCGCACTCAATTTGGTTCTGTAGTGGGTCCAGAATTCATTAAACGGATGAATTAAAAAAAGACAAGTAACGAAATTAACATAAAATGTTGAGCTCTATTCGGTCCCATGCGACGTGTCGCCGGTCAGATGGGTGGTTCCGACAGAAGAAACTGACCTCCAAACCGGAGCCGGTCCAAACCAGGACTGTGTGCAGAGGAGGGAGGGGGGGAGAGAGTCATAAAACCTCTTCAGTTTCACTATCCAGCCATGGGAAACTACAGTGCTTAACCTTTAGTAATGTATACGGTCCTTAAGCTCATTTCCAGGTACATCATTTCATTGTGTGCCTCTACTGGGAAATGTCTCCATGCTTTTTAAAGGTCTCCTATTATACTATTTTTAGGCATATATTATAGGTCTCAGATTTATAAAATATATGAAAAACATGTCTATGAAGTGTTTTGCTCAAAATACCAAACGGATCACCCATTCTAGCCATGCCTCGTCATACTACCCCTCTATAGAGTGCCACAGTGACGCGTCCTAAAACCCAGAAGTAAGTAATCATTTTCAAATCATAAATCTAATCGATAGATTTATGATCGATAGATTTATGATTCGAAAATTATAAAAGTAGGGTAGACATGTGGATATTATCCGGCTGAACAAAACGTGATCTGTCTCTTCAATTTGTGTCAACCTTATTTGATTTGATTATTATTTCGAGCTATTTTCCAAAATCCTATGGAGAAATTGCATTGGTTTTTGTCGAAGGAACCGGAAGGAGTTTACTTCCGGGTTTTAGGACGCGTCACTGTGGCACTCTATTTCAGCCATGTTAGAAAAGTGCTGATTCTGGGTCCTTAGCTTTAAAAATAAATAAAATGTATGCCTGCTCAGAATTCTACCCAGATACTCAGCTAAATGCTGCCGCGATTAAACGCCATATCATGTTCAAAACCACATCAATGATTATTTCTGAAACAGTATGGAACTCAAATGCTTTTTCTCTTGCAGGTTTACTACAAGGTGAGTAGGCTACCTTTTTATATTTCCTGCTGTTTTACGCATACTCTCTCCAGTACAGCGTTAGCTCTGAGTGTTAGCAATGCTTGCTAATGTAAACACAGACCATATTACTTCCAAAACATTGCGCATTGTTTCTGATAGCAACGTTTCTGATAGGGCAGTGGGTGTAAATCCAGCCCACATTTCAGATATTACGTCATATCGGCAGCAAATCTGGATCAGCTCCGTTGTACCCCCGTGTTTAGAGATTTGGGTACGGAGGTAAAGAGAGAGGGTTTTGTTTTCTGACACTTTGTGAGTTCCCTTACCCACCGGGGACACATTTATCTATACAATCCATTAAAAAAGTGCATTTTGCATGATAGGAGACATTCAATGTTCATAAAGCTCTTTATTGTACTCACACTGCCTTTGCGGCAGCACCTCTTTTCACCCTCTGTCTGAAACCAGAGCCCAGTCTGCTCTGATTGGTTTGCTGGCTGAATCTGTTGTGATTAGAGATGTCCCGCCTCTTAGTCTATCACGTTAAATGTGTTTGAGTGCTAGCCAATAGAAGTGCGAGGGTTTCATAGTGATTGACAGTGATATCACTATGTTACAGATTCAGAAGTAAACTAAGGAGTGCAATGGAGGCGTTTCAGGCAGGGGGGAGGGTAGCATGGATGTATAATAAGAACTGGATACAGCGTCGGAGGCGGGGTCTCGTTCTTTCCTATGAGAGCTGCTCATTGGCGCATGAGGACAAAATGGACTGAGATTGTCCGCTGATTTACAGACGTCTCTTTCCCAATGTTAGTCAATGAGAATAAGTATTTCTGGGCCCAGACTGATACGGAAATTGTAGTATCGCCGTTTGGCCACTACGAATATTTTCCTCAGAGTCCGGAGCACTTCCTGGGGGCTTGGTGTGTGGGAGAGAAACTCCTTCTGGAGGGAACACATGGATTTTAGCCTTTGCAGACCATTTACATTCACATACAGTGAAGGAAATAAGTATTTGATCCCTTGCGGATTTTGTAATTTTCCCAATTTACAAAGAAATGAACAGTCTATCATTTTAATTAGGGATGCTCCGATCGCCAATTTTGGGGCCGATCGCCGGAATCAGTATCGGCCGATACTAGAGATGTCCCGATCCGATCACGTGATCGGGGATCGGAGCCGATCACGTGATTTTCAAAAGATCGGAATGGGGAGAAAAAAATCGGGGATCGGGATTTTTTTTTTTTTAATTTATTTTTTTTTTTATAAAATATTTTTATTATTTCATTTAATGTTACAAAACAAAAATGACCATGTTCACGTCTTAAAGTCATCCTGAGGCCTAAGTTTTGGTTTCAAATTACACAACATCATGTATGTGTTGCTTCTTTTGGGCTTGTTTTCATAGACCTGGTTGCTTATTTCTCTCAAATCTGGCAACAGAGTGGGCAGGGCGCAGTGTCTAATAGTAGCAGTAAGCTAACGAGAGGCTACGTTCAGCTGGTGACTCGGGAGTCGGGACAGAGAAAATGTCAGGAGTTTGGAAGTATTATAAAATTGAAAGCGAAGGCAGTGTAACAGCCAGATGCAATGTTTGCAAGGCGGAGGTTCCGCGTGGTGGAAAGAACAGAGCTACGACCAATCTAATACGCCACCTGAGAAACAAACACCAACAACAACACAACGAGTACACAGCGGTCACTCAGGTAAAGGCACTGAAACAACCAACACTTTCAGAGACTTTTAAAAGGGAAGAGAAACTGCCCCAGAACAGTGAAAAGGCCAAAAAAATAACAGCCAAGATAGCTGAATTCATCGCGTTGGATGACCAGCCGTTATCTGTGGTGGAGAACGTGGGGTTTAAGGAACAACTTGAATGCTTTTCTCCTTTTTTTCTCTTAATGCATTGCATAAAGATCGGATCGGGAAAAATCGGTATCGGCAGATTGTCAAAATCAAATGATCGGAATCGGATCGGGAGCAAAAAAAGGTGATCGGGACATCCCTAGCCGATACCGATCGCCGATACGATCGAGTGGGTGGGGCCTATGGGGATCTTCCATTTAAAGTGATGTTTACAACTCAGTTAATGGGGCTCATTCACTGGCGCTTCCACAAACAACAACCAACATAATTATTACATTCAATTGAAGTACATTATTCAAGTTCAAGTTTCAAGTTTGTAGAGGAAGTGGAGGGACCGCTGGCAAGCTGCTGCCGCGCCTCCGCCGTAACTTGTTATTTTTAGCTGTCCTTCTAGCTTGAATCAGTCTGTTTGTGCTCTATTGTTCCAACCTTACACTACTTAGCCAGTCTGAAGTCGAAGTGATTCCACAGTGTTTCGCCTGCAGCCTGCCTGGTGCTGCACTGTTTACACCCGGCAGCCCGAAGCTATCCTAGCTGCTAAACAAGCTAACCTGGGACTTTTGGGACTTCTCTGTGCTTTCGGTGGCTGGATACCCGGATCTGGCGTGCCTAACACCTGCCTGACCGGAGCTGTCTGTTCCTGCCTACCAAGTCATCCATCTGACTGTGGTCCATCTGTCTTACGAAGGCTGCCTCATCACAGTAGCTGGTCCCTGCTCACACGCTACCCGGCTAACCTGCGACTCAGCCACGGGCATAGGATTGGTCTCCCTGCCTGGGGACTCGACACACTGTCTACCGCTGCTCTATCCTGGTTCTACTGTCCCCTAACCACCACCCGGACTACAATAACGCTGAACTGCACCCTGACTGACTTCTCTCACCATGAAATTCAGCAGGCTCGTCATTTGGGCTGCACTGTGTTTCACAGTCACTAACGCTGCCCCGCAGCTGAAATACTCCGCCACGGAGCTGCTGTGTCTCCGGTCCCACTTCCTGATCCCTCCAACTCTGCTTGCCCATCGGGACATCCTCAAACGTCCCAGATATGTACACCGTGGATCACGTCGTAACTTTCAGTACACAACTACAAACCAAAACACAAACATCCGCTCTTTTTGGTCTACCGAGCCCCGCCCCCTCCGCTTCGCCTGCTCCGCCACTCGACCTGTCAATCACACTGTGCTACTCCCCCTGCACAAAGCACACAGCTATGCACCTCTTGGTTGTTTAAAACTGGCTCTTCACAATATCAGATCCCTTACTAGCAAGGCACTGCTTGTTCATGAGTTTATTCTTGACCACAAACTTGACTTGCTATGCCTCACTGAGACCTGGCAACAGCTAAATGATTTCTCACAGCTAAACGAAGCGCTCCCTCCTGGCTTTGCTTATGTCTGTGAACCCCGTGTGACTGGAAGGGGTGGTGGCCTTGCTGTCTTTTACCGCAAAGACATGAAACTCACCACTGTCACCGTCCCTCATCACTCCTCTTTTGAGTGCCTGGCAATAAAACTCACAGGATCTAAACCTACCATTATTGTGACTATCTACAGACCACCGAAGCCCTCAGCTGCTTTCCTCACAGAATTCTCAGCCTTATTAACAACAATATGTGCTATGTCCCCCACTGTCATCATCCTGGGTGATTTTAATATTCATATTGATAACCACGCTAATGGTTTTGCAAAGGACTTCATCTCACTCCTTGAGTGTCTTGGTATTACACAATATGTCAATTTTCCAACCCACAACAAAGGTCACATATTAGACCTAGTCTGTTGCACCGGTGTCACTCCTTTTAACCTCACTGATGCTGAGTTCCCCATCTCTGACCATAAATCTGTGCTTTTTGAGGTAAATGTCCCCCTATCTAAAACAAGAGCACTGCGGACCATTACCTTCAGAAACATCAAACGCATTGACCCCAGAGACCTTAACTCCCTTATTACCTCCGTGCCCAGTC